GGGGCTGGACGGGACGGATGCTGCGGAAGGTGAGCTCCATGAACAAGTGGGCCTGGTGGAGAGGGGATGTGCCACCAGGGGCCGAAAATGAGCCTGAATCTTCAGGGTCTCCCTTGAGCTCAGAGTTGTTGCTGGGGCAGGTGAGGAAAGCTGGGAGCGGCTCCTCTTGAGCCGAGCTTGCTTTTTCAAGATGGCCCAAAAGGAGCCATCTTCCAGCAGGCGTCCACATAAACCTCTTATTCCGCTCACAGGTCAGCAAATTGGGCAAGAATGTCCGTAGTCGGGGGAAAAGTTCCCTAGGGACAGCTCTTTAGGAGGGCCTCCATTCTCTCGCAGATGGCTAACCACTCCCTGGTGGTGTTCCATTTGGCGCATAGCTCCCTGATCGCCTGCACATGTACGGCAATACCCTCAGCTGGGTCTGCTAGATTCAATCCTGGCTGGTTCATTCTGTCAAGAGGAGACCCGAGAGGTAGACCCAAAATGCAGACATACAAGCTGAAGGAACATTCAAGTTGATTTTAATAAATACAAACCCCAATTCCAATAAAGTTGGGACATTGTGTAAAACATAAATAAGAACAGAATACAATGACTTGCAAATCCTTTGTGACCCATATTTAATTGAATACACCACAAAAACAAGATATTTAATGTTCAAACTCATAAACTTTATTGTTTTTTGCAAATATTGAAGCGTGTGTCGAGAAATCCAGGAAGTGTTTAGTGAAGCGCATATTAAGGCTTGAATTGTTTACGGTGGGTGACGTCATCAATAACGTTTGAAGCCTCGCTGCCTGTAGCGTCAGGAAGTGGTTCGAATTTTGCCGCGATGTACTGGCAGATATAAAGCCCAAGGAATCTCCACACAATTCTTGGGTAGTGTTGGAGTTGTGAGAGTTTGTGAGTTATTTATTTCCAAAAAGAAGAATTGCTTAAACGCCAACACTGTTGAACAAATACTGTTTTTAAATAAAACAGAGGCAATAAAAGACTGGGAAAGTTGAGGACTGCTCAAACACCTGTTTGGAACATTCCACAGGTGAACAAGTTTACTGGAAGTAGGTGAGCGTCATGATTGGGTATAAAAGGAGCATCCCAAAAAGGCTCAGTCATTCACAAGCAAGGATGGGGCACAGTTCACCACTTTGTGAACTGCATGAGCAAACAGCCCAACAGCTTAAGAACAACATTTCTCAATGTACAATTACAAGGAATTTAGGTATTTCATCATCTGCAGTCCATAATATCATCAAAAGTTTCAGAGAATCTGGAAAAACCTCTGCACGTAAGCAGCAAGGCTGTAAACCAACACTGAATGCCTGTGACCTTCGATCTCTCAGGCAGCAGTGCATTAGAAACAGACATCATTCCATAAAGGATATGACTACATGGGCTCAGGAACACTTTGGAAAACCACTGTCAGTTAACACAGTTCGTCACAACATCTACAAGTGCAAGTTAAAACTCTGCCATGCAAAGAGAAAGCCATACATCAACAACACCCAGAAACGCTGCCGGCTTCTCTGGGCCCGAGCTCATCTGAGATGGACTGATGTAAAGTGGCAAAGTGTGCTGTGGTCTGATGAGTCCACATTTCAAATTGTTTTTGGAAATCATGGACATCTTGTCCTCCAGGCTAAAGAGGAAAAGGACCATCCAGATTTTTATCAGCGCAAAGTTCAAAAGCCAGCATCTGTGATGGTATGGGGGAGTGTTAGTGCCCATGGCATGGGTAACTTGCACATCTGTGAAGGCACCATTAATGCTGAAAAGTACATACAGGTTTCAAAGCAAAATATGCTGCCATTCAAGCGATGTCTTTTTCAGGGACATCCCCGCTTATTTCAGCAAGACAATGCCAAGCCACGTTCTGCACGCGTTACAACAGCGTGGCTTCGTAGTAAAAGAGTGGGGGTCCTAGACTGGCCTGCCAGCAGTCCAGACCTGTCTCCCATTAAAAATATGTTGCACGTTATGGAGCGCAAAATATGACAATGCAGACCCCGGATTGCTGAGCAACTAAAGTTATACATCAAGCAAGAATGGGAAAGAATTCCACATACAAAGCTCCAATAATTCGTGTTCTCAGTTCCCAAACACTTATTAAGTCTTGCTAAAAGGAAAGGTGATGTAACACAGTGGTAAAAATACCCCTGTCCCAGCTCTTTTGGAACATGTTGCAGACAACAAATTCAAAATTAGTAAATATTTGCAAAAACCAATACATTTTATCAGTTTCAACATTAAATATCTTGTCTTTGTGGTGTATTCAATTAAATATGGGTCAAAAAGGATTTGCAAGTCATTGTATTCCGTTTTTATTTACATTTTACACAATGTTCCACCTTCATTGGAATTGGGGTTTATAATATAGGACTAGAGACTAAAGGGGAAAATATACAGAGACAGATACAGACTTACGAAGCAGAATCTCTGGGTGTGATGAACTGAATGCACCGGCAAGTGACTAAGGGAAAAGAGAATAATGAGCAAGAATTGTGAACTGGGGTAAAGCTAGGGCAGGTGAGGTGACACAAGATAGGAAGTCTAACCAAAATAAAAGCAGCAAACAGGAAGCAAGTCCACAAATCATAACAGAATGTCTATCACTCATGTTGTCCCCACACCGGAAGTTATAAAATTTTAAGGTCAAGACTTTAATGTAGGTCAATGCATTGTGCCATTAAGTGGCTTCTTCTTGTCATTACCTCACCACTTCCTGTCTGCACATTGATTCATTTCTGTTCCTGCTCTTTTTTGCTTTAACCTGCTTGCTGTAAACTCTCTGAAAGTAACCCTGATGTATCCAGGATCTGCTTTTGAGCTGGTGTAAAATGTTCCTATCTTACCTGGCAGTGCTTTGAACTGGGCGATCTTTTCTTTTAGCACAGGACAGACTGATTGGATTATGGCCTCCAGTTCATTTAGATTAGTTTCACTGAGGTGGCCCGTGCGCTCCATCTCCAGGAAGACTTCCAGTGTAGTCTGAAATGTTTAGTACACTTGTACAAAGCTCAACATCAGGTACTAATAACTTCAAAAATAATTGTTTTTAAATCAATTAAACATAATTTGTATGTTTATCACTGTGGTCTTAGGCTAAACACCATCCAACTCTTCTCTACAAAGAAGGGTTTCAAATATTGACACTGAAGATGCACTCACAGTGTTGTCCTTCAGTCTTCTTCGTGGGAGTGTCGGATTTAACAAGAACTTCATGTCTTTCAAGTCTTCACCAGTGATCTCCTCAGACAGGTTGTAGAGTAGCTTCCTGGAAGAGCAGAAAGTCAAACTGTTATGTGTTGTATTAATGTACAGTATAATCACAGTGAGGTAACAGCTGTTAATATGAATCAACAACATGGCCAAAATTAGCTCAAATGAAGGTCAGTAATATTTAAAGCTTATGAAATTCAGAAATAAGTTCAGAAACAATTTCAAAATCTCTGTCTGTACATTAAAAACCTGTGTGCCTGTGTTCATGTGGGACACAAGTTGCAGTTTACAGTTTCCTGCTGTGAATGTGTACCAAAATGCTCACATAAGCAGGTACTTTCTGTCTTTATGCATCACTGTTGATGAAATTTGTGCCAAAATTTTATTTGAATATTCTTTAAACAATCTTTCAACGTATTCACAAACTTCACAAAGCCACAGGCTGAAATTATTTCTCAACATCATTTCTACATATCCTCTATACATGACTCTTATTTGAGCTCATACATACCCAGAAATCTGTAGAGGCTCTGATATAGATCCCTAGATTGATGCATTCCTATATAGCAATAGTGTCTGCAACTACATCGTGCTTGATTAATAACCTCAAAGCAGTAAGGTGTGGGCCACCCACCTGTATTTAGAGATGAGGTTCATGGTTGTATATTCACTGAGACTGAGGTCATGGACCAGTCGGTTGCGTTGGATGGTGAGGAGAAGCTCAGTCAGCAGATGTGGTCGCTCAGGTGAGAGATGGTCTTGGTCCACCAGACGAGAGAAAAGGGCACTGGCTGATTCCACTGAGGTGGGATTTCGGCCCAGGAGGTCGGTACAAAGAAATGCTAAAGCCTTGACCTCATCCTTACACAGGGCCTTCTTTACTTTTAACAGCAATATCCGGAATTCCATTTCCTGTGCTAGAAAAAAGATTCAACATAGACCCTCTCAGATGTGTAGTTTTTCTGTTAGGGGGTACAGTGTGTGGTAGACTATGTACCAGTGGTTCTTTCCTCATTTATTTATTTACTTTACGTCTTCAAATTACAGCAGTGAAAATGATCACATCCTAATATGATTTGATGGTATCCTGTGGATCTTCTGTGGATTCATTTGAGCTTTTAACCAATTTGCAAGCATTTGCTTATAATTTGCTCTGATCAAAGTGTCAAAGTGTTTATTTGTCATATGCAGTTAAGAAACATGTTTCCCTGTACAATGAAATTCTTACTTTGCCGTCCACATGAATGCCACATAATACAAGTGAAATATAAAGCAGATGAGCAATAACACAAATCTAAATAGGCAGTAACACAAATCTAAGGCACTTTAAAGCAGCAGGTGGAGGAAGCAAATAAAAATACAACAGGAACACAATATAATGCAGAGTGTGCAATTATGCACTCTGCTGTAGTGTATGGGTTAATCCCACAACTCTTACACTTTCTTTCCCTCTGTCTGAAGAGTGTTTACAATTCAATGATCTGACTTCAAAAACCAGCTTAATAAATAAATTTGTCCATCATTTTAGCATAGGCTACGTATGAGTATGTGTAGGTGTGTTAGAGAGGGGGGAGCAAGTCTAGAGGAAAGAGTAAAATTGTTTTAACCCTGGGGTGTCAAACTCAATCTCACAGGGGGCCAAAGCTCAAAGCACACTTTAGGTCGCGGGCCAAACAATTATTGAACAGACTAAAACTAAATGTTTTTTGAACATATATATGAATCGAAACAGACAGGATACAATATTATTCCAAAATAAATAAACTTGAACTTAAAATCACCAACCCTATTTCTGCTAAGGCTTACATTAGCAAACACCTGCTTTTTGTCTGGACACAAGACGTCGCACACTTTCATCATGCAGCTCTTCAGAAACTCTCCCTAGGTAAATGTCCGGGCTGATTTTCTCCTCTGTCACAATAAAACTTGTTTTCACAGCAGCTTCACTGTGTGATTTGGCTGTGATGTCAGATTCCTCTTCAACTCCTCTACCTTCTGTAGCTTCTGCTCTGCATTCACGTTTTTCAGCTTGTCCTGATGTTTTGTCTGGTAGTGCCGTCTTAGGTTCTATTCCTTAATTACAGCCACATTAGCTCCACAAATAAGACACACAGGTTTACCGACAATGTCAGTAAACATATACTCAGCCTCCCACCGGTTTTGAAAGGCTCTGTTTTCAGAATCAACTTTAAAAGAGGCTAGCTTTGTATATTGTTAGGTTATTTTTTAGTTAGATAGATATTCAGAGATTTGTTGTCTAGGAATGTTTAGTGCAGACAGGTTGACTAGCTTAGGCTGTTAACTATTCAGCCTGCAGTGCAGACTGCAGGCAGGTCAAGGTTACAGGAAAAGAGCTGTTAGTGTCAACTGTAATGCTAGTCTTAATATTTGTCTTAATGTGTAATGTTATGTCAAATTGTTTTAGATACACACCACGAAAACAACAGCCACACACATTATTTTCTTCATGTTTTGTCTACTGATCTGCTCAGCTGCCAAGCTGGCATATCAGGTGACGTCACGGTTCGACAGCCCAGAAATGATTAATATTGTATAGGAATTCTTGGTTCGGGGTCTTTCCTGTTTCCGGGCTGCTCGGGCAGCCTGGGGGTTGGAAGATCTCTGGACTTGAAGTGTTAATTCTTGCCTGTGACTTTTTGAATAAACCAGCACGGTTATATTTTTTATATACTCAAGTGGTCTGAGTCGTCCCTCGGAGTTCCTGGTTTGAAAGAACCGGATGAGGCTTTATAATGGAATAGAGCCTATAATATATACAAGTATAAGACCATTTACCATAAGACCATTTAACCATTTTACTAGATGTTCTACTTAATAACGTATTGCGCAGTGTTACCTGTTTGGAGACGAGTTGTGAGCAGGTCAGGTGAAGAAGATGTTGCTTGTCCCATTCCAAGATACCCGAAGTAGCCCACTATTGGCAGCAGACTGAGTAATAGACCACTGAAATAGAGCCTGTTGTTTAAAACCGCAGACACTAACTCAACACATCTACAGTTCGCAGGTCGGACACAGTTTATGTCAAAACATGTTCACAGAGAAGGAAGTAGAAATTTGCGGGAAAACGAAGAACATGGCGCCAATGGCTCCCATTGGCTGTTTGATCTACCTGAAGCAAATGCCCTATTTTCAGGAAACGAAAGTAGCGAAGTAGCCTGGCCGGTTTTGCAAGTCTGAAGTAACCTCAACCTTAGTGCACCCAGCCTGAATAGTTAAAGAGGCTGAACATCTCCATGAAGACAAGCAGCAAGCCTCAAAGTCCCCTGCACCACCTGATGTCCGTCAGAAGACATTGCAGGAGAGTTTCATGAAAGGCAAAGAATATCCAGCTACAGGTAACAGTTGATGTGTTATAAGTGATTTAAAAATTGAACGAACCATTATTTTATTTAACTACCCCAAACTGCAACTGAGCTATGTGAATCTTGGATGAAGCCATGTTCACCACTCTGTCATTTAGTTGAAAAATGTAAAGGTTCATATGCTTGTACTGTATATATCAGAAAATACTGACAGTTTTGTTTCTAGAATGTTATTAATGGAAGTAAATTTCCTTTAAGGTGCAAAAAGTATCGGTATCCATGGAAAAAGTACCATAAACTAATGGTATCGTATCGCCTTATTGAAGCTTCGACACAATATTCAAAAATGGTTCATTACTCGAGGCTTCAATGACACAGTGCTGGAGTGGGACATCTAGTGGCCAATAAAATGAAGTGCAATCGAGGCGTGTCACTTATTGGTTCATGGATTGTTTGGAATCTGATTCGCCATACACATTCCTGTTCGACTACACTATATGGTTGTATGGTTTCAAGCTGACACAATAAAATATAAATAAACATGAACTCTAATTGTGTCAGTACCATTGACACACATTTACACAGGCACTGTTATCTCCCCGTTGGGGAGTAATAGTAATTTATGCCTGCTTACATTAACTGAACATACTTCCCAAAATATGGCCAGTTCTTGTGTCATGTGTGTGTATGTGCTATCAAAATATGCCAAAAGTTAATACAGTAGCATCTTTAAGATACTTGCACAAATACCAAGTGGCACTTTGGGCTTTTATTAGAGCACTCACATTTCCAGCCCCTGCACTAGCTTTTTAACACATTTCTTTATTTTGGCTATTCACATCATTTCAACTAAAAGCATGCTGTAACTATGCGGACAGCTGCATCTACGGGCTTGCATTGCGGGCCAGCCGCGTATACTGTGGCTGTAGAGATGTGCTGTGACAGCTGTACTAACCTCCTACTGTCTTCCCAAAGCAAGGATCAGCTCTTCTTGGGAATAAAATTTTGACGCTATATATGAGCTTTTCATGCAACCGAAATGCATTATGTTCAGACAATATGTCAATATCTTCAGCTGAATTTATTTTTCCTGTGTGTGTTCCAGGATACATACATCTGCCTACAGGTGTTATATTCTGATACCTGTAATACAAACAAGCTCTTTTCTGGGGATTGTGTTGATTTTAATCAATAAAGCTGATCTTATTTTGTGTTGGGACAGTTGGGACAGCCCAGCATCTAGGTCACTGCTGTATTTCGTTTTGCAGTCTTAAATTTGTACTGTAGTGCTGAGTCAATGTTGGTCAGCTGCCATTCTCGGAAGTGTCCACAAGGCTCTTCCTGGCTCAATTCAATCCTCAGTTACTGGGAGAGCTGAAAGGACTGCTTTAAGAGATACCTGGCGGCTTTGAGTTATTATTTTTTTCTTACATTTGTGTACAACTTCACTTTAATTATGCTTATGCCACTTCCGTAGGAATAATTGATGTACTGTATATTTGATGGAGCCAATGAGAATACACTCCAGTCAGCCTCTTGTAACTGTGACTGACAAATTTACTGTTGTTCCAAACAGTGGGTGTTTGCGTTTACCGCAAAC